ATTATCTTGGCTGCCTCTTAGTGTGATTGCATGCCTTGCTTGTGGAGGGTAAGGGCCTGGACACGTTGGATCTGTAATTAGTGCAAAGAAAAGCTTCACAAGGGCTACCTAGGGCATCAGCCAAATAAAGTCAGAGAGGTGGGGCAACTGCCCAGGGAAATTAAAGAGAGTCACTGTCACCACTCCTTTAACCAGCTGATGGCCTCTCACTAATCACCCACTGTGAGGTTCATTATCTGATCCACGTTACTGAAGGGCAGAGCCAGTCTGTCAGATCAATAAATCTCAGGGCAGTGGAAAGCCCTTTAGTAGCAGGCTTGAAAGACATGAATGGACTGGGAGAATTGGCCAACTTCCATTGGTTCTGAAATTGAGTTTAGTCCTGAAGTATACAAGATGAAAATAGAGGGAAAAAAAGGGGAGGGGGGATGTCTACGTATCATATGCAGGATGGCTGTATAGAGGAAACAGTTACCTTTTAAAAGGCATCATCTTTTTTTTTTTTAATTTTTTTTAATCCTTAGAGATTTGTGTCTACCTTTTGGATCCTAGATTCCAAACAATTATATTGGATGACTGTGCCCTGGAGAGAGATTCAGGTTATCTTGGATAGAAAGTCACTGTAAGCACACCAGTGGAGGGAGGGGTGCTCACTCAGTAGAGTCTGATTTTGTTACCAGGTTGTTATTTGTTCTAGTTCCTGGACTTTTGGCTTGTTTTCATTGTTTCAGCCACTTTGGGCTAAAGTGTTTTGAAAAAGAACCAATTCTTACCTCTTAAGGAAGCTCTAAGAATCTCCTTGGTCTAAGAATTCTCTACTTCTGAGTGTTTTTGGTTAGTGCAGTAAGACAGGGAATGTATGCCCTCGCCTCAAGTTCCCCAGATTCATTTTTTTTCAGTGCAAAAGTACAGAAGTATCTGCTGTGTGCCAAGCCAGGGGCTATAAAAATGTAAAATTCATGCATGCCCATGAAGACTTCACAGTATAAGAATCAGCATCACTGCTTTCTTGCTTAGACCTTTGCCTATGTGTTCTCCTGTAGACCTCAGCTGATGTATGTGACATGCTTGCAGCAGCCCGACCTGACCCTTTAGAAACCTAAGATAAAACCTTCCTGGGGCGCCTGGGTGGCTCAGTTGGTTAAGCAAGCACCTGCCTTTGGCCGGGGTCATGATCCCAGGGTCATGGGGTCGAGCCCTGCATCGGGCTCAGCAGGGAGCCTGCTTCTCCTTCTCCCTCTGCAGCTCCCTCTGCTTGTGCTCTCTCTCTCTTTCTGACAAATAAATAAATAAAATCCTTAAAAATAAATTTAAAAAATCTTAAAAAAAAAAAAAAATTCAGAAGAGATGGTAGTAAATCCCTTTAGAGATGGTATCAGTGGGAAGGGAAGCCTAAAGAAAAGAGAGAGGCTCATCATCTATAAATCTGGTACGTCATCTTTTTCCCACTGAATACTAGTCAGGCATAAATCCTATTCTAGGACCTGGCCAGGTGGGGCAGTGTGGAATCATAACCCAGGTGAGCCCTAGTAGGCTGCAAAGTTCCTGGGGAAGGAGCAGCTAAGTATTTCAGTCACTGCAAAGGCATGTGTCACTCAGTGTGGGCGGACTTAGCCTGGTTTCAGTGTTTTGTCACTCTTTGCTATCTCAGAACAAATTTCCATTTCAACGGTATGAAGTCCTGAGAACTTTAATAGGAAGCTTCCAAGCCCTCTCTGAAATTCCTTGCTAAAGAGCCTGGAAGGAGAACAGCCAGTGTCAGACAATTTTTCTTACCTTTAGGCTTAGAGCCCTGCATCTAGCATCTCTAGTAGATCAGATTAGTACTCAGATTTTTAACTGTCCCAAAGAAACAGCAAGAAAAATAAAGCAGAGGCATATACCCTCTGCCCTTTGTGTATACTGGGTTAGAGACTGCTAACTGGATTTAGACTGTTCCATCTGGCTTTTTAATCGCCTGCTGAGAACTGAGGCTCTGGGGGAGTGTCACAGGGGAGGTTGGAGGATGATTTTATCCTTATTCCAGATTCCCAGAATGGCATATCTTTCATACCCTCAAGATGAATATGCTCAAACAATATCAGCATATATGCCCTGCTAACATAGATCATCTATAGATCCAGCTGACACTTGACAGGTACAACTTTGAGAAGGGAAGGAAATAAGTATACTTTTTGAGGAGAATACTTTCCAGGCTTTTCCTTTCTCTCCCTCATTCCCTATCTCTTCCCTTCCTTCCTCTTCCCCTTCCCTCTCCTGTCTTCTTTCTTCCTTCTTTCTGTTTCTCCTTTCTCTTTTCCTTTTCTTGCTTCCTTGCTTTCTTTGCTAGTGTAAGAATTCCTCGGGTAGAAAGGGAACAGAATTACAGCATCCCCATCAGTTTCATTCCCAGGAATTATTTCATTGTCCAGACCTCACCAGCTTCACTGGATTGCCACCTGGGCCCCCATGGCTGCTACTCGCCCACCCACACAGACACGAAAATACTTTGGAGTTCTCTGTTCTCCAAACCTAGGCAAACGAAAACAAACAACCCTAGTTCAGTTGAGTCAGGATTTTTTTAAAACATTTTTTCAAAAAAATTTTACTAAGAAATTTAAGGAAAATCCAAAAGAAAAAACCATTATAAAACCACGAAATGAATGTATTTACAGAGTTCATATTCTTTTTCCTAAAATAACTGAGGTCCAGTTGTAGATAGATTTGGTTACTGTATTTCTTTTTCTTGATCCTGTAGCTCTTAGATGCTAAACCCTATGATTCCTACTCTCCACTTAGTTAACTTTAACTTGGTACTGCTGCTAGGTTTGGGGGTATTCTCAGTGCCTCTCTAAACTTCCTCCCCTGTCTTCTTACTGGGTTTAGGCTCCTGGTTTTCCTTTTCTGCTCTTGTTGTCATCCCTGCCAATACCCTCAAACTTTACTTTCTGAATGAGAAAAATATTTGACCCCTACTTGGTCCAAATTCTTTCCCACTTTGGATTTAGACCAAATTACAACCTTAACTTGCAGATAACATCGCAGCCCTTCTTCGTAGTCTCTGCAAAAATAAGTTACCAGAATTTTCCTCTATTCCTGACCCATTACTATCCCGTTTGATGTATTCATTCTTTGAATATTTATTACATACCAGCTGTGTGCCAGGCACTGTGCTAGATGTTTGACATTGCTTTATTATATAAATGTTGCAAGAATTCTCTAAGATTTAGTCACTCTTTTCGACAAACATTTATTTTATGCCTACAATGTACTATTCCTGGGTACTGTACTAAGTGCTAAGGTAGGTGTTATTCCCACTTTTTCCCTCTGAGACATGTAGTTTCCTAAAAATCCAAAATAACAAATGGTCAAACCATGATTTTTTTTTGAAGTTTGGCTTATACTTTTATTACCCATATTAAATGGTTCAAGAATTTTATACTATCAATGTTATATTAAAAGAAAACATTGATTTCTGTTGCACTGCCACACATTCACATGTATGCACGTACACACCCACACGTTTTAACAAACTTAATTTTGGAATAATTTTAGAATTACAGAAAAAGTGCAAAGATAATACACAGAGTTCTTGTATGCCCCTCAACCAGGTTTCCCCCATCTTACATTACCAAGGTACATTTATTCATCACTAAGAAACTGGCAATGATATATTACTATTAACTAAGCACCATATTTTATTTGGATTTCACCAGTTTATTAATTTTCTCTTTCTGTTCCAGGGTCCAAATCAGGGTATCACGCTGCATTTAGTTGTCATGTCTCCCCAGTATCCTCCGGTCTGTGACAATTTCTCAAGTACAGTTTTTCATGACCTTGACAGTCTTTTTTTTTTTTTTTAATGACCTTGACAATCCTAAGGAGTACTGGCCAGGTATTCTATAGAATGCCCCCAGTCTGGTTTTGTCGCATGTTTTTCTCATGATGAGACTGAGGTTGTGGGTTTGGGAGTATATAACAGGTAAAGTGCCCTTTTCATAAGATCATACCAGGGGTTACATGACAGCTACATGAATCACTGGCAATGTTTACATTAATCATTTGGCTAATAAGGTAGTATTTGCCAAGATTGTTTACAGTAAAGTTACTGTTTTTCCCTTTTACTACTCTGTTCTTTGGAAATAAGTCACTAAGTCTATCTAGCCTACCCTCAGTGGGAATGGGAACCAACTCCACCTCCTAAAGGGGAGAGTATCTGCATATATTATTTGGAATTATTCTATTAGAAAGATTTTTCTCTTTTCCCCATTTATTTAATCAATTTTATATTAATATGGACTTAGATAAACTCTGATCTGAAACCTGTGCTTTTTCTGCTACACTAGACAAGAAATGACAAGGACCTACATATACACCAAACGCATTGGATTCAGAGAACTTTATTTCAGATTTCAGAGATTTTTGAAGAACTAGATTTGATAAGACTTGGTAACCTTGAATGTGAGGGTGATAGGAAGTGTTTGAAAATGACACTCAGATTTTGGTTTGAATGGCTGGAAATAAAATTTTGGTTTGAAATTATTAACTAACAAGTATGAAGATTGGTTCTAGGCTTTGATAAAACTCAGCTTCTTCAGAGATTGTATTTAGCCTATGTATTGGTCCAGCTTTACTGAGTGCCCTATTCTCCCAAGTCAGAGCAGAGCAAATGACTTTTCTTTCTTACTGAAACAGCAGGGCCCCCTAGTGGACAGCCCCCTGGGTCCTGTTTCTTGCCTGAAGGATGCTTGGTTTTGTTTTTTGTTTGGTTGAGATTTTTTTCCCCTTAGTTCATTTGCAGAGCAGAGACATTTGATTCTACTCTTGATCTAAAAAATTTTAAGCCCTACTTATTTCAGAGTTATCAGGTTCACCCCCATGTTCAATAAAAAGATAGTTACCCTCTGACAATCACTCCTATGCACTCATACTCTAAACTAGAGGGTACTTGATACTTGTTTTTAACTCATTTATCTGCCTCTTCCATCTGATGCCATATTAATGTTAATTCTTTTTTTCAGAGCCATCATCAATCACTTTAACCCCAAAATTGAATCCTATGCTGCTGTGAATCACATATCCCAACTGTCAGAGGAGCAGGTAAGCCACTGCCCTCCCCAGAGTGACCCCTAATAGTTGGTGGCTGAATTCAGGCAGTTGTCCTCTCTTTGACAGCAGAGGTATTCTGTGACTGAGCTGGTAGCCGGAACCAAGCTTCTAAGAGCAATTACTAAGGGATTTGTTGATAGTACTTTAAATAGAGTGATGGCTTCTGCTTTTGTGCCATATGAGGGGTTTGTTTAATTATATAGAAGATATGTAGGTGAAAATTTAGTGAATTATTATTTTAGAGTGGGTGATAGGCATTTCTTTTTTTAATTTTAGGCAGAGAGTCATTTTGATTTTTAAAAATAAGAAATGAGAACTTAGAAATGGATAAAACTGCCAGTTAGAAAAACTCTGAGTTCAGCTCAATTTGATGCTGTTTGGCTTATTAAAATATGAGCCCTCATTGGGGTAGATTTTCCTTAGTAATTGAGTTCTATTTGCCTTGAACAATTATTTCTGAGCAGGTTTTTCTATGGTATGGACTGAGTTGGAGATGCAGATAGCGTTATGTGTTTGTTTTCCTTTAGTCTGGCCTGATTTCCCTTTCTCCCAAAGTGCCTGCACTCAGCTCTGCATTATATAAAAGTACAGATGGGGGTGCCTGGGTGGCTCAGTCGTTGGGCGGCTGCCTTCGGCTCAGGTCATGATCCCAGAGTCCTGGGATCGAGTCCCACATGGGGCTCCCTGCTCAGCGGGGAGCCTGCTTCTCCCTCTCCCGCTCCCCCTGCTTGTGTTCCTGCTCTCGCTGTCTCTGTCTCTGTCAAATAAATAAATAAAATCTTTAAAAAAAAAAAAA